GCCTCTAACTTTGCCTACGCGCAGCAGCAGCAATCCCAACAACAGGCTTCCCAGCACAAACAGATGAATAAGGGCTTTAAATCTTTTCCAGTAAAGCACGAACGCAGACCATCTTACCTGCATCAGTACTAATTGCTTTTCATATTGGAAAATGCAGCACAGGGCCAAACATAAATTATATACTTCTGTTTCACAACTGTGTATTGGCTATATCCTGTTTATCTCATTAAATATGGAATTGAGGGGATCTGGGTGAGATATACAAACTCTTGAATTCTGATTTACAGTGCTGAGCAAATATGGCCAATATGTTTGTTTGACGTACATGAAATAGCCCAAGACTGTGATGTAGAAATGCTTTTAAAAATGTGTATATTGCCTTTACTTTCAAAAACTTTTTTTTTTTAAATAACTGCTGAAGGACTACCATACAAGAAACACTGTATTTTATAGCTATTTTTCATATAGATTTATAGTTAAACATCTTACTGAAACACATTGAGTATGTTGAAGCAAATACATAGTGGTCACTTTGCTCAACACTGTTTGTGTTTAAATTTACAATGGACAAGCTGTAAAGCCTTTGTATTCTCCATAAATGTTCTGTGGGCAGCTTTTTTTTAAATGAAGTGCAACAGCAGCCTTTCACGTGCCACACAAGTGAGTTTGTTATGAAACTGCTGCAGAAACAGTTGCAAAATGGAGTTTTGTGGTCGTTTCCTTACTCTAGGTAAAGATCAGCAGAACCACTCAACCTTGTGTCACAAATGTTACCTGAGCTGCTTGAAGTAGATGGCATCTGTGTGGATAACGTGACACTGGTTTTCAAGTAAATACACCGTTTCTTACCGCGTCATTTGGCCAAAGGCATTATCCACACAGGGCTCCTTAAGTGTGTGAAAGTATAGCCTAAAAGACTACTTGCATATATTTAAAGTCTTATTTCAGATGCTACAGTTGATTAAAAATCGTGAGCTGGCTCAGAAGATACTAAACTGAAATGTGGGGTAGCAGTTAGTTAAAAGAACATTATTTTTTTTAAAAGGATAAAGTAATTATTTGCAGTCAATATGTGCCATTAAGTGAACCTGTGGAATTAGGAATAATCTTCCAACCAAAGTGGATCCGGGAGAGTGACTGGTGCTTAAAAATTGAAGAACAATGGTAAATATATGTATAGCTATCCCACTGTATATTAATTGAGATTACAGAAGATTCTTTATATAGTTAGAGCTTATTTAAATTTTCATATTTCATCTTTGAAAGAGTCTAAAAACCACAATATTTTCTGGTATAAGAGTTTTGACAGTATTAATCTTATTTTTGTATTTTTCTTAAGTCATATCATTCTAATATGTTAACTACTAGTGAAATGGGTTATTAGTTCTAACTACATAATTTTTCAAAGATAAAGCACATTTGTTGGTTTTGTTTTTACAAACTATAAGTACATCTATATCTAAAGATACCAAAAAAAAATACATTATATATATATATATATATAGTATACACAACACTAAAACTATTAAACATTTGGGTATTTAAAACCCATCCACCTTTTTTGTTTGTATGGTGACGGGCTATATTTGCAGGCCCAGATTGTTACCTTTTGTGCTGTTTGAGGATGCCAATGTTGCCTGTATTTATGATATTGTCACCATGTTTTCTGAAACTTCATACTTACCATGTTTACAAAGATTTGTTTGCTGTACATAGACTTTTTACAGTAATGTGCTTTGCACAATCAGTGTGGCTTCTGTCTGTAAATTGTTAATGGTCTGTACTACTATAATTTTGAAAACCCTCTGCTGAAAATGTTAGTGGTTATTTAACTTGATGAATGGTTTTGAGTTTCCTAGATCTTGTCATTTAGATCTAATATTAAATCCTACATTTGGTTGTACTTACTGGTTATTCATACTAAGACCAAAATGGAAGTTAATGAAAACGCTTAATTTTGAAGTTTTTCTAAGAAGTGCCAAAATAATTGCTATAGTTTTTGCAGTTTATCCATGATGACAAATGCTGGCAAGTTGCTGGACCTACATAAGTGAATTGCGAAAACAAAGAAAGTTTTGTCTGCGTTTTGACCCTGTAGGTGCTACTCTGTCCTTTGCTTCCGATTGTTCTGAACACTGGTAACTTTAAGAATTGTTGCACTTGGCAAATGAGTCTTGCCATTAAACTTCACTTACACTGCCAAGTGCAAGGGTTTGGTGCTTAGTTAACTTACCCTTATTGCAGTGCTTCTTGTGAATAGCTAATGCTTCTGAACTGGAACTGTACATTTTGTATTTTAAAGCTTCTGTAAAAGTAAACTATTTGCTTTATTAAAGATATACATTTAATAGGTCATACCTGTTTAAAATATGCACCTTGCTGAAAATGAGCAGCACCTTAAACTGTAACTTTGGTTTGTAAACAAAGATCTTATTTCATTAACATGGGATTATTTAACAGTTTGAAAATTGTCAACTGCCTACTTACTGACTCATCATAAAAATGAACTTTATGCACTCTACAATCTGAAGCATCTTTAAGGCTACTTTTTCAAGTAGATCGCACTGAAGAATGTGATACAGAAACTGCCTTGGCACTGTCTTTGAAACTAGTAGTGCAGATGAACGTTACTAAACCAAGTTATTTGAATCTTTAGCAATCACAGAGTAAATAGTTTTGATGGTAGTGAGCAAAAAGTAAACTCCTAAACAGAACTATTATCAAGGCTCTTAGTTAAGCTTATGTGAATCATGCCCCTGAAATGCACTATCTGCTAATCGTTCTGGATAAGAGCACACAAGCATGAAGCTGATCATAAATGCTGACAAATAAATACCCAGGAAGCATACGAATCCATTTTGATTATGCAAGACTTTACTTGTTTACAGAGTCTGCAGTACAAAGCATTTCAAGCAAAAAGGAAAAGCCTTGACACAATTAGGACAAACACCCAGCCTTCTCTCACTGAAATGAAGGCTCGATTTCTCCCTTGCACTTAGTTGCTCTAAGTCATGGAACAGTCCCATCTTTCCTAGAAAAGTTAATGTTTCTGTTTCACTAAATCACTGAGCTGCTCCTTTGTTAACATGTTACATTAATCCAGAATATACTATAATTTACAAAGAAAGAACATCTTTAGTTTATTAAGCACAGTTCCTATGATACAAGGCACAAAACAGTCTATAGCTTATATACATGGCAACATATGACTGACTGTGTCGTGTTGGAGGTAGAGAGAAGTTACCTAGCTACACGCTTGCCCTATTATTGTACAACTGTAGTCATGAAACAGTTGCTGCTTCAATGAGACTGCGAGAGTTTTCCGAAGGCATCTCTGGCAGTGCCGTCCTGAGACCCAGGCCATTTTCAGAAGTATACTACATGGAGTTTTTCAGGGGCAAAAAGGAAGCGTGATAAATAATTATCACCGTTAAGTTCTGGTTACAGTAATGGGGGAAAAACTAGGCTAATATTACACCAAAAACTACATTCATGCTTTTAACGTAAACATATGGATGACTTTTTACCTGCCTTTCAAGCTCACACCTTCTCAGCTCTCAAAGTGGGACTCTAAACTAAGTATTTCTACAAATTCTTAAAGCATCGCTGCTCGTGTCCAGGTGTCTGCAGTCAGTCTACAGTCTTCTGCGTGCTGGGCGGCGTCGCATCAGCAATGGTAGCTAAGTAAATGAGGTTTCTATGCAGGATATGCTGGTACCTACGAGAGGAAGAAACATTGTATCTGGGAAATGTGTTCTTTTTAGCCAACTACCCACACTTTAATAGTCACTTTTGTAATCTGATCAGTATTTGCTGTTAGGGAAAGAAACCGCAAACTATGAAAATAATAAATCAGGGCAAACATCCCCATATCCTGTTCTTGTTCTACAGCCCAGCGTACTCCACTGAGTCGCACTCGGTAACCAACTACGTTCCGCTCACCCACTCTGCTAGTAAACAAGCACGTTAAGCTCTTCGCGTGATCAGTACTGACAAGATGCAGCTCTGCAAGAGAGGGGCAGGAGATGACAAAGCTCCGCTGCCGGGCGGCCCTGGACACGCAGCCAGCACGCGCCCAGGCTCGGCACCGCTGCCGGCCTGCCCCAGTCAGGGCCTCCCCGAGGTTAAGAAAGAGCTGACTGCCCCCGCTCCCCTGTAAATGCCCCTCCTCGGTGTTCCACACACACTGCCGGGGGAAGAAAAGCCTGCCCAACGGAGCTGGTTTTCACATTAACACAGAGCAAAAACCTTGACAAAAAGGAGCAGGCATCAGACATATTCTATACAGCGGCGTTTTTGTTTCACAGACGCGTGAAAATCATTTTTGGGAAGCCTCTGAAGAAGTACAACTGCGTTTTCTTTTTGACGGCGGGAAAGCTCTGGCAGCAGGAGCGGCGTTTCGCTCTCGGTGGGAATCTGGGGACGCCGAAGCTCCGGGGCTTCCGGGTCGCCCCGGAGGAGGCAGCGAGAGGCCGGGCAGGGGCCGGAGCCCGCCCGCCCCCGCCCCCGCACCCCCGCCCGCCGGGGCTCA